AGGACTCTGAGCACCTTTAGTATGTGCACGGGCACTATGACTCTAGTAGGGGGCTGATTTTGGGTGGGGGCGATGAGTTTGCCCAGAGCCTTGATGTTTAAGATTTGCCTGCTGATTTTCTACGGTGGGACAGGCTGGAGGCTTCTCTGGACCCCTCTGGCCATGCCGGTGTGCAGGCGCTGCTCTTGAGGTCTGTGGGGCATGGCCTGAGCGATGGTCCACAGCAGCCCTGCTTCTGCCCTCAGCGTGTCCATCTGTCTGTCTGTCTCTCTCTCGGGGCCTGGCCTCTGGTGCCCTTTCTCAGTTCACTGCAAGAGAGAATGGGTTTGGGGAAGGGCTGGGAATTGGGGAGAGGATACAGTAGAGAGTGAAAGGAGGCAGTAGGTCACTTCTAAAATAGCTGAAGTGAAGTTGTCATCCGTTCGGGACACAGAGAAGAGAGGTACAGAGTTGGCCTGTTCTAGGTCCTTTGACAAAGTCTTAAAGTTCATCTAGTGCAGCTGCCTTGTTTGAGGAAGGAATATGGAGGAAGAAACTGTGGCCTAGAATTTAAGCAGCCTGCCCAGGGCCACGGGGCAGGGCCAGGAGTCCTGTTACAAATATTTACTTCCACAAAAGTCTTGTGGAGACTTTTGACATTCAGAAAGGAAGGCTCCACTGATACGCCAGAGTACCCAGGTCGGATCCCAGGGGAGACAACTTGTTCACTGCGGAATACCCCACCCCCTGTCCCAGTATCTGTCCCATCCTTGGACAAATTCAGGGAATCTAGACCAAGTGGTCTATTACTTTGTAGTGAGAATGTGGAGAGATGGAGGCATCAGGAGATTTGGGGAACTATCTCTTATAACAGGGGCTTCTCCATTTACCAGCATTGTGACTTGGGCACAAAGTCCCAAGTTTTCCATGCCTCAGTGTCTCTTTTGTAAGAGAGGATAATAGAAGTAACCAACCCGAGAAAGTTGTTTTGAGGATTAAATGTAGTTAGAACATTATTCTGGCACAGAATAAGCATTAATTTTTTTACAATGCCATCTTTCATTGTGTGGCTGAGACTGAGAAGAGTAAAGGGAAGTGGAAATGGGGGAAAGCTGGGCATCCGCAGGAAGCCAGATAACTACCCTGCTGTAAGGGTTTAACTTTTAGCAGAAACAAAGCAAGGTCTACTCAGGCAGGAAGATGTCCTTGTTTCTTTATGCTGAAATCACAGCGCAAGGCCTGGACACAGTCGATGCCCAGTAAATATTTGCTGTCTACCTAGAGCTGCCTGAGGCTGAACATTCTGACTTTTCTAGAAGCACCGTGGGTCTCTCTTTTTCCATGCGCTGGTGAAAAAGTCAAATGCAGTACTCATCATGGCAAACCCAAGGCTAGGGGAATGGAGTTGAGAAGGGAGCCTGCTGGCCCCTGAGGAGAGAAGGCAGATGTCCCATACTCAATTGAGCCCTGCCTGTCAGTAGCATCTAAGTAGTTGTTTAACCTCAACCGATCAACTAAATCCATTATAATAGACTCCAAAACAAGAATGAGCCTCCAGACCTGCTCTGCCTCCATTCCCCTAGCCTGGTGGGAGTAGGAAAAGGAAGCCGGGCAAGCCATGCACCTCAAGTTCTCTCTGATCCTGTCCTTGCATCCTTGCCGTTGAGGCCAAGCCCTGGGATTCTTTCTCTAGTCGCACTGCTCCAGCCTCGGGGAATGGTTTGGCTGGGCTGCTGCTTTCTCGGTTCTGCTTTTTGTGTATATTTGCAGGGAAGATGTTAACACTTCCTAACAAGCCTTTGTGTTCATCTAATCTCTGCTGTTTAACCTTTGACTCTCCTCTATTATCAGTGTCTGCCACCTTTGCTGGCCAGACCAAGGGCCCCAGGAAGAGCCCTCAGCCTGGGCTGGCTAGGAAGAGGATGAGGCAAGCATTCCATCCTGGGTCTGCAGGCAGATGGATCGCATTTCCCTGGGGCAGAGCTTTGGAAAATAAAGCAACTTGCAGTGCCATTAGGATCCCCCAGCCCCCACTCCTTTTGAACTGTCAGCCTTTAAGTAAACATTCTTTTCCTGCCATGGGTCCCAGCACCTTAGTGGGGAGTGGAGAACCTGGGAGGAGAGGGGCCCTGAGAGCCTCTGCTGAACGGAGGGATTTGGGCAGGGAGGAAGAGGGCAGAAGTGCTACATTGATGTCAACTCTCTGAGTCCCCAGGGCATTGGGGCTTTTGAAGTGGACTGGGGGTAGCTGTCACCACGAGAACCAGGCCCCTCTGAAGTATTAAAAGCCCCGTCCTCTCTAGGCCCCTCACTTGAATTTGTTTGTACCTGCCTGAGGCATTTCCCTTCACAGCCCACACAACCTCTGCAACAGACTGTGATGCCTTGCCCAGGTAAGCGGTCTGGCAGCTGTTGTTGGCCAGGCCTAGGCTACACTTGCAAGGAAAATGCCAAATGGGCCTGTTGTAGAAATGAGGAGGCCATTCGTTGTGCTCTGGTGTAATAAGCGTCCAACCAGGGACAAGGAGCCTGACTCCCTACTCCACTGACAACTGGCTATGGAACCAGGCAAGACATTTCATCTCTCTGAGCCAGAGTTTCCTCTTTGGTAAAGGGGCTCAAGTTTCCTGCAAAACAAAGTCCAGTTATATACATTATGGGCTGGATGTTGCTATCTGGTTTTGGGGGTTTTTGTTTTGTTTACTAAAAGGGATCATTAATCTCTGGACTGGTACCTGCATGATAGGGACCATGTGTGGTGTGTGAAAATGGAGGAGTAGGGTCTTGGGGCCAGCAAAGTAGTCCAGAGATCCAGCTTCTGTGCTGAGTAACGTAAGGTTTGTCCTCTCAGGGAGACTTCTCCTTGGGGATGTACTTTTCTCTTTGACCTGCAAGTAGTCAGGCTAACAAAGTCTTAAAAGACCTCAAAAGGAAAAGGTAGCTAAGGTCTTCAGTGGAAGTCCCATGTATTCATAAATGGCAGCTGTAGGGCCTCAGCTTTCGGGGACAGCCCTGGATGTCTTTACTCTGTCCTTTGTTAGAGCATATGTCCCATGTTCTGGTGTCCTCATGAGGCTTTGGGTGCAGCAGAGGCCCAAGCTGCCTGAGCTATGTTTATTCCAGGAGGCTTCTACCTGTCTTTGGGAGACCTCATCTGAAGTATGAGTACCTCTAACTTCTGGTCTAATCATGGAATTATGGCTGCTTCTGCTCTTCTACTGTTGAATATATTGTGTTATATCCGGACATAATGCTGTCATCCTTTTCTTTCCAGGGCCACTGAGCTCTATAATACTGGTGTTCCGGTTTCCCTTCTTCCTCTCTGGCTGTGTGGAAGGTGTGGAACTGTGTAGAAGCTTGGTGGCAGAGGGCCTCATGCCCAACTGTTTACATCACCTTGCTGGGTTTCCCAATGGCCTCTTGGTATCCCCACAGGTACTACAAGAAGTTCTCCATTCCTGACCTAGACAGATACCAGCTACCTCTGGATGATTCCTCGCTGAGTTTTGCTCATGCCAACTGCACCTTGATAATCTCTGTAAGATTCACGCAGACTTCTTGGCTACTGCATCAGGGAGAGGCTTCCTCTTTCCCTGCCCACTTCCAATCCCATAGGAGTCCCCAGTTCTTGCCCCAACCCCTAGGATGTGCTTGCTAGAAAACAGGCATCTCTAACTCAGCATGGCAGGGGGCGGGGAGAGCACTCAGGGAGGAGCCTGGTCATATAATTCACAGCTGGAAGAGGGTAAAGGATGATGGGGAAGTGGTGGAAATTGCAGGACTTGAGTTCTGGTTCAGGGTCTGTTCCTACCCAACCACATGACCTTGAGCAAATCACTGAGGCCTGTAGGCGTCAATTTTCTCATGTGCGCAGAAGAGGCCCCAAGTGTGTGTGGAGAGAGGAGGGATAGTGACCGAGTATGTCTTCTTCCTGGCTCCATCCACAGTACCAGAAGCCAAAGGAAGTGGTAGAGGCCGAGTCAGAGCTACAGAAGGAGCTAAAGAAGGTGAAGACGGCCCACAGCAGCGATGGGGACTGCAAGACCCAGTAGTTGGCCACCGAGTCTAGTACCTCCAGCATGGAGGGCGCTGTGAGACTTGAGGCTTGGGCCTTTCCAGCCCATGGCAGCCTCCACTCCGGAGCTATCCAGAGTCTGTAAGAACCGGACTGTGGGGCACTCCTAGCCCCTGAGTCATGATCTTATTTCCTGAGTAAAGTCATTCTGAGTCACTGTACAGGAACTATCCTCTTGTCTACCTCTGTATTCTGCCTGCCTCCAAGCCCCATTGGCCCCATCTAGGGAGAGCGCTGGTGACAACATTCCCTTCTCCTCCATCCTGGGGACCTTCAACATAAAGCCTTCCGAATAAAGGGAGGAGAGGAGGATGGAAGCACGTGACTCCAGCAGGGAAGGGCTGGGCATCTCCTCCAGCCCGTGCGCACAAACTCAAAGGAAGATTAGGTTGGAAGGGACCCTGTGCAACCTTAGCTTGCAGAAGTGGCTCAGAGGAAACTCCCTAAGATAGGTGCGGGCAAGGGAGAAGTTTTAAAAATGCAGAAACCTTGGAAACAGAGCACAGGGTGTTTAGACACTGTGGGTGGAAAGCCAGAATAGGGTCAGAGTATCACTAAGGGGGTGGGGGTGGGGGTGTGTGCGTGTGTGTGTGTGTGTGTGCGCGTGCGCGCGCGCTGGGGTGGGATGAAGAAGAATCACCACAGATGATAGCAGTTTAGCCCCTCAGCAGCCTGGAGCCCTTCCATAGTCCCCATACCTCACAGGTGACCATCACTCACTCACTCACACACACACACACACACACACACACACACACCCCTCCCCCCCCACCCCCCAAAAGGGATAGGTGGTTAATGGGAAAAAAAGAAACCCTTGTTCTTTGGGAAACAGAGCCACGAGGCTGATCTTAGCCTTTCCCCAACGTGCACAACCCTGGGTTTGAGTCTGTTCTTCTCTTTTCCTGGGGCCTCCTAGAACTACCCAGCCAGTAAGGAACCAGATTTATGAACAATCAAGCTTTATTTTTACAAAAATGAAAATTGTAGCATGTCTCAACAGCCGGCCTGAGGTAGGGCTGGCTCAGAACCCACTCAAAACTACTGCTTTCCCTTTGTCCTTTCTTGGTTTCAAAGCAAAACCAAGTGGCCCAGGAATGAACCCCCAGCCCTAAAAGGTTGGTCAAGGGTGGGGTCTGACTGAGACTGAGGTGGCCAATGCCAGCAGGGGGGTATTGGCAGCCTCACCTCTTCTTCCAGGAAGGGGCATAAAGGGACCATGAAGGTGGGTGCACCTCACCTCACTCTGTAGGCTGTTATGGCTCTAAGAAGGAGTGGGGTGCAGGGTGGGCCTCTTAGGGCCAGATCTTTGCTCTGGGCAAACAGGGACACAAGGCTCAGGTTCAGCTGCATTTGCCAAAGCAGCAGGTCTTGTCTCTCCAACAGGTTCCTGGGAGGGACTGCATCTCTGGGTAAGCCCCAAAGCCCCAGGAGTCAGAAGCCTCTAATTTCAGGTGCCCAAGCACTGGGGACACACAGGTCTAGGAGCACAGCGGGGGCAGTGGGGAGGAGCTATCACTGCACCCTCCAGGCAAGAGTGGTCCCTGAGTAGCTGGCTTCTCTGGCCCACAGGCAGGGGTGGCCCTGCCAGTCACGGGTTCTGAAAATCCAGGACATGGAGGTTGTAAGACAGCGCAGCATAGAGATGCTTGGTGGTGAGACGCAGGCAGTACACAGGGCTGCTGAGAGGGGTCGACGTCAGTGGGAAGGCCTGGAAGGGAGGGCACAAGAAGTGGTAAGAGCTTTCCCAGTGGGAAATGGAGGTACCTTATCCCAAGATCCCCAAGCCCAGTGAAACAGGGACATGTGCCACCATAGGCTTCCTCCAGCCCTATCCTTGGCCATACCACCCTCTCTCAGATGCAACCCATAATGACAAGTCCTGGCATCCTGGAGGTGTGAGGCAGGCAAGACACTCACATGCAGGCAGGCCCTTTGGCGCCGGTCCCACAGCCGCACCACGCCGTAGTAGGAGGAACCTGTGGCCAGCAGGTGGTTGCCATCTGTCTGCAGGCAGTACAGGGTGCTGTCGTGGGGTTCCTCCCACTCCATGACACATTTCCTGTCCAGGAAGGGAAGATACAGAGGGAGGTTCAGGGTGGCCTCCACCTCCACCTCAGCTCCCTCTGGGGCCTTGAGGAACTGCGGGGAGGGTTAGGGAGCTATTCTAGGCTGGCGGAGAGAGAGTCTGAATCATCAGATTCTTTATAAACCGAACTTAATGGGAAAGCCATCCTCTGTAAAGGGCTCTCACCGAGCCCCAGACCACACAGCAGATTATGCCTGCATTTGTGTTTCCACACGGCCGGCTACTTGTCATAGGACTCATGAGGGGGAGAAGTAATAAAGGCCTCAAGAAAGGCTGGGACAGAATGCCGAGGGACGGTACCCTGACAGCTCCAGAGGCTCTGAGAAGTGCCTGCGGTTATCAGGGCCTGCTGGCTACAGTCTCCCAGGCCACCAGGACCGGGGCTGCCCCAGGGTAGGGAGTCTAAGCTTGATACGACCTTGGAAACCCCTTCCTCCCCAGGTCACGTGAAATCTCTGTGTCCTCTCCCATGGGCCGACCCGAGCCTAGAGAGAGGACTGGGATTGCATGGGGACTCCCACCACCTGTCCTCCCTGCCCAGCACACTCACCGGACACTGGTGCGGAGGTCCCAGTAGCGCACGTAGGTGTCATAGCCACAGGACAGCAGTGTGGAAGGGGACTCGTACATGACGTCTAGCACCCCTGCCCCTGGGGGAAAGTCACTGCCCAGGTGTGTCACCAGCTGCCCACTGGGGAGAGGAAGGGCAGAGGGTGAAAAGGCTGCCCCACCTTGGCCCACTCTTGCAACTTTCAGATGGTATTAGACCTTGGGGAAATGCAGCTCTCCTTCCTCCTCAGCTAGAATTAGACTCCCTGCGGAAGGGGGCCAAGGGAGGAGATGCCCGACTCCTAGCCCCCTCACCCCCACCGTGAGGCCTCTCCAGCCAGTCCCAGCCCCCATCCCTCCCCCAGCAGCCCTTCCATCACACCTGCGTGCAGCTGCCCCCCGCCCAGCCACTCCTCCTCAGGACGATGAATGGGCCTTGCTGAAGGGGTCGGCCCCCCTCACATACACACACTTGGTTACTTTATACTCCTTGATCCTGCAGGTCATGCAGTTCTGAGCTGCCTGAGTCCAATGCCTTAATTCCTGCCTGTAATCTGGGGCTCAAACCTCATTGGGGATAAAGACCACACAAAGGGAGAAGGGGAGTCCCAGGAGATGTTAAAACAAGTAAACACCTTTGTGTCTGGGGAGAGAAATCGCTGAGAAAGCAGCTTAGCGGGCTGTCCCTGGTGTTCCTGGCCTGGCTGGCCCCCAGCCTGGGGCTAGCACGCCTCTGTGATCACAGCCCCCAGCCTGCTGGGTTCCAACCTGCTCCCCCCACCCTCACCCCACCCGGTGGCCGAGAGCAGATTACTGAGAAGAACAATTTCTTTGTGACTGTGTAATTCCCTCCGTGACCGCGGCAGTGGGCACACCCCTTGCCCTGATGCCAGACCCCTAGCAACCATGTAGGGGGGCCTCCTGGCCCTAGCAACTACCCCTCAACATCAAGTGTACCCGCTAATCCCTGTGGCTAGGGGACGGGTGGAAGTATTGAGTTTTTGCAGAATGATTGAGGGGAATGAAGGAGAAGGGGTACCCTCCAGGACCGATGCCTCGGCTTCTTTCACCCTTGAGATGCTGGGCTCTCCTCCATGGCGTGAGGAGAAACAAGGCCATGGACACTTCACAAGAACATCCAGGTAAGAGGCCCTGGCATGGGGTGGAGAGGACTTCATAGCCTCACCAGCCCAGCTTTGGCTCAAGCATCATTTCAGCAAAGGATGTGAGGCAGGCAAGGCTGCCAGCCACGTGTCTGAGTGCAGACTTCAGCTCCAGTCTTTCCGCCTTGCTCAGATTAGGACCCTCAACCTTCCTTCTTCCCAGTGGAGCTGCCATATTCCCTGAAGGCTAAAGGAATCAAAGGAGGAGGCTGGGGGTTTCTTTCTGCCCACTCTGAGCAGTAAGCCCCAGGAAGGAGCACTGCTGCTGTCCAGTGGGCGGTAGGCCCCAAGTCAGCACCCCTGTCCCCAGCCTCCTTCCTAGGGAAGTTCTTATCTTCCTCTCAGTAGCCCAGTGCTGGGCCTATGGGGAGAAGATGAAGTGAAGATGTCCACTGGGGAGCATCAGGCAGAAGGCCATCTCCCCAGGTCAATGTCTCATACAGACCACTGACCTTGGCTCCCAGAGGAGCCCTGTTTCCCAGGTGGGCCACCAGCCATAATTCAGCCACTGTATGAGAGTGTCTGTCTCTGTCTCTGTCTCTCTCTCTCAAGGTACACCGGGTGGGGGCTGTTTTGCTCCACAGTTCTTCCTTTCCTTCCAGATTTGGGGGCCCTGCCCCCTCCATTAGTGAGGCCTTAAGGAATGATTGAGGAGCTCTCCCCTTTAATCTACAGAAGTAATTTCATGTTTGTCTGTTTGAAATAGAAGATGAAAGGCGGTGGGGGTTGGGAGGAGTGAAGCCCAGCATGGCTCTACCTGCCCACCCCTGGTCCTAGGGTTCAGAGGGAAGGAGAGCTGGCACCCATGGAGCTGGGCAGGGACAGCAGTGTAACAGGCACACCCAGACTGGGCTGCCAACTTGGCATCCAAGCCACCACTGGAAAACTATCTGCAATAAGAAATACAGAACAGCCCAAGGGGCCCCTGCCCTCTCCAAGGGCCCAAGTGAGTGCCAGCCCCTGGGGGCTAGCACAGGTCCTGAGAGCCCCTCTGCCAGCCCGGCCTGGCCAGGGGCTGAGGAGTTTCTTTCTGCTGCGCTGTTCTCTGGTTCTCTGAAATGGCCACACACAATTTAAATGGGCCAATAAAAAGATACAATTTCTTTTACCTCTGGGCTCAGGACCCTCGAGGCTCTGTTGTGCAATGCCCATGAGGTTAAGTTCAGAGCATAAACTGACACACCAGGCTCTGGGAAATGGCCCCTCTCTTCAAATAGCGGCCCAGCAGTGCCACAGAAGCCCTGCTGGGGCTTTGATTTGGGAAAACAAACAGAAATGGCACCATAGGCCCTTCAAGGCCCCCACCCTAAGACCTATTTAACTAGAAAACTCTAGCTCAACTGCTCTGGTGGAGGGAGAGATTGGCCCAACAATAGCCCCAAACTTGGGGGGAAGGGGGACAAAACAAGCTGTCTGTCTCCTCATCCCCTCCTCCTGGGCTCCTTTTCTTGTTGCAAGTGTGTTCTTGTAAAAATGATTAGATTGCAATTTGTATAACATGGTGACCCCCAAATTCAGACATTTCACCCCTTTTCTCTGGAAAGAATGTTAAGAATGCTTCTCGGCCTCTCACTGTGGGAGGTTGGGGGTGCAGAGCCTTGGCTGTGGCACAACTTGTGTGGGAACAGGGCTGCTGCTCAGAGCCCTGGGCCAAGACAGGAGCAAGGGCCAGTCTGTCACTATAGAGGGCCAGACAAAAAGTCCATTCCCTTCCAACTCCTGCAGACAAAGCCCAGGCCTCCAGGAGCCGCTGAGGGCTGGCGGGGCCTCCACACCCCAGCCTCCCCCAAGCCTGACTCCAGCAATTCTCTCGACCCAGCAAAAGATAAAGACGGATGGGGCCGCCCGTGTGAGCCTGATGAATGAGACACAGGCTGGGAGGGGCAGCCTGACGGAGACTTGTTCCCTTGGCCCTGGCTATGCGGCCTTCTCCTGGGATCCCCCAGTGCCTAGGCAGGAAGAAGCAAGCAGAGTGTGGCCACATCCTTGAGTGATCCCTTAAAAAGGGAAATAGGACCCCCTGGCCCAACCCCTCCTGCTGCCCAGGCAATTCCACTGCAGCTGGAGGGAAGACAGGAACTCCCTGCCAGTCACAGAGGAGGGAAATTTAAGTGAAACACTGACACCCATCACTGCAGGTAGGTGCTGGCTCTAAAGACCTGGATGGCCCATCTGGGAGAGGCCCTGAGCCCCATGCTAGAATGGGCACAGGGGCAGTCCCTGGTACGCTGCTCCCCAAGTGTGGGCCCTGCAGAGCTGGGAAGCCTGGTGCCCTGCTGATTCTTCTCCCAGCATCCCCTACAAGCCTCCTGTACTAGAGTACTCCAGAGTCACCACTGGCTCCTACCTCCCAGCCCACATCTCAGGATGCCCATGGCTCCCATACTGTTTTGCAGCCATTTTTAACATACTGGGTTCCTGATGATGTTCCCTGGAGACTCCATGGGTCTCCTGCAACTGGATGTGAGGACACCCCATCTGGCATGGGCTATCCTGAAATGCAACAGTGGCTTTTACGGAGAGAAAGGAAGGAAGAGTGACAAACAGTTTACCTTCTCCCATCTCCTCTGCTCCCTAGGAGACAGATGACCTGAAGGTATAAGCTGGGCCCAGCATGGTCACTAAGAGAATGGGAGGTTTTTCCTCCCTTCCTTCCACTTCCTCCTTCCTTCAATAAACAACCATTAATTGAGCACCTTCTGTATACAAGGCATTGTGCTTAATAGAAGCTAAAGGGAGATGTGAGCTGTGACTATGAAGAAGACATTAACTCTGCTTTCAAGGAATTTTCAGTCCAGCAAGGGGGAGAGGTGTGAATCATGTATCCAACTAACAATACAAAATGTAACTTGGTAGGTACTGAGGAGAGATAAGAGAAAGTTCTATAAGGGGTCAGATAAGGAAAAAGAACATTTCTGGCTGGGGATATTAACTGATTCTTCACTGAGGGACAGGTCTGTGACAGTCAATGACAGGAGAGGGGGATGGCCCAGGTGGAAGAAATAGCAACAACAAAGGTGCCGAGGCAGGGCAGCCAGGCTGTTGGGCAGTGGCTGGAGGCCGGGGAGCGTGCAGGGAAGAAGCTGGCAGGATCTGGCCTCCAGACCATGGTGGGCCTTAGGATGTAGACCCCTTACCTTGCATGAACTCCGTGAGTAGCAGAAAGCCATGAGATTTTTGAGTAGGAAGTGACTGTCCTAGTTTGGCCCCTGGTTGCAGGTAAGGAAACCGAGTGCCACAGAGGAAAAGTGACTTTCTTAAAATCATTTAACAAGAAAGGGTAGCGCCTGAATTCATGATAAAGGCTGAACTCCTAGAAAACCAGTCTGGCAGCAGCATTCAGGCTGACAGGAACAGGGGAAATGAATTGAAGGGCCTGTTCTCTGTGTCTGCTGAGGCCGGATAAGATGGATATGCGGGTTACCTGGCGGCAGAGCAGGTAACCACCACAGCCACCACAGCCGCAGCTCGTGAGTCCCTACTGTGCGCCAAGCACTGTGCTGAATGCTTTACACATATCAGCTCATTTCATCCTCACAACAGGCCTATGAGGTAAGTTTCTTAACCCCATTTTACAAATGAAAAACTCGGGTGGCATACCTAGTGCATTAAAGTCAGGTCTAGATGCTCCTGAGTACCCGCACTCCCTGCCTCACAGACAACGCAGCCACTTGGTCACTGCCCCCTCAACATGCTCTGTCCAGTTGCACAATTGGATTTGCCCCACAGACACCCAGATCCAACTCCAACCCTCACCTATTCTTTGCAGATCTCTCCACCTCCCAGGTGCCCAAGGGCACAGATAGGTTCTAAATGTAAGAAGAGAGGAGTGGAGATGAGAAGCCCATGGAAGCCTCACTTGCCCGGCCCCATCAGGTGAGAGAGAAGGGCTTCCCAAGCACACAGCCTCTCACATGCATGTGTGTGCACACACCCCCAGCACCCGCCCGCGCACACGTGTTCAGACACAATGGCTCAA